ACTCAGCAGCTTGTTAGAAACACAGGTTCTAGTTACTCCCAGATCAACCCAGGATCAATTTCAGACCTACTGAATGAAAATCTGCATTTGAATAAAATCCTTGAAGCTTTGTATGCACATTGGGAACAGTAAGCCTGGTACAATACCTCACTCGCTCATTCTTGAAGGAGAGGAAGGCTAGAAGGAAGAAAAGCAATCTTACGTTGAAAGTTTTTAGCTTGATCATCAATAAATGAGAACTTTAAAAATGAGGAGAGGCTAAGGAAAATATTTTTCAAATTATAATTTATAAATTATATGTAGTCTGTGACACGCTCCTCTTTTTGTTTCTTTTCTTTTCTAATATCGCTTATCGTTGTCACAGAATTGCTCCCAACTAACTTTTTAATGTACTAGTATGGATAAAGTAGAACATGAAATCATCTTTTGTTATTAATTACTTGATATAAAAATCCTGCCAGATTTGACCTAAAAAATAAGGGCATCAATATTTTCTCTTTGTTAGTTACCCAGATAGACTGCAGCTTTTATATAGTATTTTCCTTTGTTTATGTTTTTAAGGTGGTGGTGGTGTTAATATTTTTCAGTAGAGTTGATCACTGACTTTCATTCATTTTATTTTGTTAGGAAATAAGTTGCCAAGAATAAACTGTATTAAGTCAATATTCAACTTTATAATTTCGGATCCCTTAAAGCTATGAAATAAAATATAAGCACCCTCCAAAATTTTTTTCAGCTTTAGGTAAAATTAAAGAAATGCTGGAGGTCACAATGACATTTGATAATGATCCTTGTGCAGAAATAATCTTGTTAATATAAATACTTTGAGAATTCTAAGTACTGTGCTGGCTCTCATCCTTCTTAGCAAAGATAAGAGAATGTTGGAAGTGCTCACGTTCTTGTGACCTCAAGAATGCAATAAACTAGCCTGGAAGGGTAGAAATTTATTTAAATTTCATTGCAGTTCTCAATGTTTTCTGAAGAGCAGGAGGTTCCCCAAGATATTCAACTCTTAACCACAAAATGTTTATTTCCAGGAAATCAAAAATTATATCAGGACTACACACCTTATAAATCATCTTTATTATAAGAAATTATATTTTTCCATTGAACCTGAAGGGTGTTTATTTTTTAAACCTTTTAATCTATAGATTGTTTAGTACTTAAATTTAAATTGTTCAGCATTCTATAAATGAACTCACCAGTCTTGTACAAATTATCTCCCTACAATATTGAGCACGAAGGGTCACATTAGCCAGAATCTAGGCTTAGCTTTCCGCCTGGCCTGCTCAAAATAACAGGTGTCCTGAGTAGATACAGTTCCAAGTACACCAGTAAGCCTCATTCTTCCACAGAATCATAATTATGCAGTTGTTATTTATCATTAACTTATTAAATACTTTCCTTCCAACCTAGATAACTCACTAGATATAGTAAGTTATATATATTTAAATAACATTTTTAAACACCAGCTTGAAAATAATGTGTCCTGGGAGGAAGGGGAGGGAGAGGTTAGTAAGTACAGCATAAAGCAAGTGTTTAAATGTTTTAGGACAAATTTTTTAATCTACTATTCTAAAGTCAGAAAGGGTGGTTGGCTCTCCTTGTGGACAATGGATCCAAGAAGGGTCCAGCAGGGGGATTTTGCTCATTATTTTCCCTCTAGAAGTTCATACTCTTTATACCAAGTTACTGTTAAAACAACCATTGGGACCATATATTCATATAGTTTTAGGTAACCTTTTTATTCATGTATAGTATGCATAGATTTGTACAAAATCATAGGAATTTTCACAAAGTGAACTCACCTATGTAACAAGCATGGAGATCAAGCAACAGAACATTGCCAGAACCCCAGAAGGCTCCTTCCTGCCCCCTCTCCATCACTAGCCCCTCATCCCCTTCCAAGTTACCTTTTAACATCATGGATTAGTTCTGCCTGTGTTTGAACCTTATATAAATAGAGTCATATGTAATTAATTTGTGCCTGGCTTCTTCAGGTGAACAATAACATGAGCTCATATGGTCCATCCATAGTATTGCTTGCAATTGTAGTTCATACATTCTCATTGCTGTGTGGTATTTCATTGTGTGAATATATAACAATTGGTTTTCCATTCTATTATTAATGACATTTGGATTGTTTCCAGTTTGGGGGCTATTTTCAATTGTGCTGTTACATATTTAATTTCCAGTCAAAAGTAATATTATTAGTTTGAATAAGGAAAAGTTTAGCAGTTACTTTCTTTTTCATAATTATTTCCCTCTAAAAAGTGGAGCTATTGATTTACATAGAGCAGAGATGAACCTTAGGGTCTAATGCTCCATAATCCACAATATTTTCTACATAGCCAGCTAATCTAGTTTTTATTGCTGTACTAGTTTATATTGCTGCTGTAACAAAACACCACAAATTTTGTGGCGTAAGACAACACAGGTTTGTTCTTTCAGAGTTCTGGATGTCAAAAGTCCAGAATGGATCTTAGGGAGCTGGAACCAAAAGAGGGCTGCTTTCTTTCCTTCTGGTGACACTATGGGCACTGTTTCTTGCCTTTTCCAGCCTCTAGGGGCTTCCCAGGGTCCTCGTCTCACAGCCTCCAGCCAGTAGCCCCTTCACAGCCATCCGCATCTCTTCTCACACCTCTGACTCTCCTGCCTCTCTCTCTCCCTACACAGATCTTCCTTGACTTGCGATGGGATTACAACCCCAATGCGCATTGTAAATTGAAAATGTTCTAAGTCAAAAATACATTTAATACATGTAACCTACCAAAACAATTTAGCCTAGCTCACCATAAATGAACTCAGAACACTTACATTAGCCTACAGTTTGGCAAAGTCATCTAATAAAAAGCCTGTTTTATAATCAAGTGTTGAATGTCTCCTGAAGTTCTTGGATACTCTACTGAAAGTGATGAACAGAACAGTCTTGCAGGTGCAGAGTAGCTGTAAGGGCAGCGGTTGTTCACCCTCATGTTCACATGGCTGGTTGGGAGTGGCAGCCACTGCCACTACCACTGCCCAGCAGCATGAAGGCTATTGTGCTGCACATTGCCAGCCCAGGAAAAGATCAAAATTCAAAACACTACATACAGTTTCTACTGAATGTATATCACTTTCACACCATCATAAAGTCAAACATCATAAATCAAACCATTGTAAGTTGGGGATCATCTATATTACGATGACACTTGTGATTATAATGGGCCCACTTAGATAAATCAGCATAACTGAGATGCTTGATTACATTTTCTAAGTCCCTTATGCTATGTAAGGTAACATACTCCCATATTCCAGGGATTGGAACATGGGACATCTTTGGAGGACCATTATTCAGTCTACCATACCAACCCTCTGAAATTATGTCTGGCTGCCATTTTCCAGTACACCTTGCTCTTCTCACCTTAATGAAGTAAAGCAGAAACTCAATGTCCTTTTATTCTTTGATCTCAACTCAAATACATTCACAATGTAAGCTCCTGGAGGGTAGGGGTTGACCAGCTTCACTTGTGTTGTTTCTCAACAACCAAAATAGTCTCTAATACCCAGTATACACTCAGTGATTGTTGGTTCTTTGAATGAATGCACGAAATATTCCCTACATCCTCACCTCTCCTTGAGGAGTAGCCACATGGCACTCGAGGACCTGGGGACACTTGCCAGTTGCCATGGTTTTACTCCATGCTCTTAACCAAGACATGTAAGGTCTCTCTATGTCTGTTTCCTCATCTGACAAATGAGATGGCTGACACAGGTAATTTATAGAGTTGTGTCCAGCATTAATATTTGTTTTAACTAAAGACGATGCCATGATAAACTGTAAAGTGAAAAGTTCAGAATTTAAAATACTATAAATGGTATGATTTACACTGATTATAAACTTATGCACAATATTAACATAAAAGGTTACTAACAGGGGAAATGGATTTGGAATATATAAGTACTCTGTACTATCCTCACAATCTTTCAGTAAATTTAAAACTGTTCTAAAATAATAGGCTTATTTTTTAAAAGTTGCTTGCTGTGAGATGAGACCATGAACTCCTTGAAGGCAGGGACCACGTTCTGCCTTAGGTTTGTTTACATAAAGTCTAGGACAATGTCTCACAAAGAATGACTGTTACTCACTGAGATGCTGTTTTTCCCAGGATTGTATCAAAGGCAACAAGGAATGAAGCCAGCAGACAAGAGTATGGAGCAACCCACCAAGCTTTTAATGAGAAGTGTAAAGAAAACGGATCCTGCTAATCAGAAGGGGCTCCAAGGAAGATGCCAGTCAGGGCTGCAGTGTCCAGGGTTTGTAAGCATGGAGAAATTTACATGATTGGGAGGTTGAGGGGGTTGGGGGAACTTTTTGCTAGGGCCAATATGGATTAAAAAAAAAAACCTCTCTTGTTTTTCAAGCTGAATTTTCCAGATGTCCAGGTTGTGGTTTCTTGTTTACTACCAAGCCTTGACCCTAGGTCCCTCCTGACTGCAACTTACCTGAGGCCTTGAAACTTACAGGGGCCTTAAACTCTATCTGCATACATCCCACTAACACCTACCTCATGACTAATAAGTTTTGAAGTGTAAGAGAAAGTATTTTTGTGGATTTCAGATCACTACAGAAACAGTATCTAATAGTCTTATCAGAACAGTGAAATAAACCTTGTTGTATGTAAAGGCCAATTGGGCTTGGTGAAATCACTGCTCTTCAAGGAAGGGAGCCATGGAGTAAGTTTCCAAATATGTAGCTTTTAAAGGGATGCCCAGAATGGGGAGTGAAGGAGGCCAGAAAGGTCACATGTAATTTGGACACAGATATTTAATTACTATTTTATACTTGAAAAAAAAATCTGTGTCTGAAGGATTCTCAGTGGGAATAGAGATGGATGTTGGAATGTGTATAGAGTGTCTATGTCCAAATCTTGGCACATGTCCAAAACTGGCTGGGAAGTATGATGTGATCATTTGTATTGATTTTTAAAGTTTGAGAAACATTGGATTAGGTAATTGGGTTTCCCATTAAAATCACTTTATTATTATGAAAACAAAGCTATTCAATAAGCATCAATAATCATGACCTTCCCTGACTCCAAATAAACTAATTATCTATAAACAGTTTACATAATTCTAATCCTAAACAATTATCTTTACAAAACCTTAGGTGATCCCCCCCAAAAATGCATAGATAATGTTGCATTAAGGAAACATTAAAAAGTTAACCATGGTCATTGCTATGTGGCAAGATGACGAATCACATTTCTTTCTCCTTTATTTTAATAAGCAGGTTATATTTCTATGGTGAAAATAAAAAGAACATTTCATAAGTATTTTTAAGAGTCTATATAAAAAGATTTTTTTACTATTGACCTGTAATTTTAACAATTATTATTACAAATCTCTATGCACATGGACACACATCATCAGAATTTTTTGAAGTGTTTAGAGAAGATTTCTTGATCCCCCTTCCACTCCACCCCTCCCTTCAAACATTTCCTTTCTAGGTCTTCACCCTATTAGGATATAGGACTGCCATCCTCCCATTCATTCAAGACAGAATCATAGATAATCATCATTTATCAGGCTTTTTTTCTTACCTTCCCACAAGTCCATCAATAACCACTGACAACTCTACTTCTAAAATATATCCTGAATCCATTCATTTCTCTCCATCTATACTGTCAGCACTTTTAGTCAGAACCAGCATTTTACAAACTGTGAGTTGCCACCCATTGGTGAGTTATGAAATCAATTTAGTGGGTGACAACCAGTATTTCTTCTTTTATAGTGAAATCAAATAGAAAATCTCAGAGCACATCACTCATAGTAAGGGTATTGTCTCATGAAATTGTTGTTTATGCATATGTGTTTATGTACTGAGTCACCACATAAAATATGTTTCCTCTTGTGGATTGTGGTAAAAAATATTTGAAAGCCTTCATTTAAGCCCCCCATCACTTCTCACCTGGAGTGCTTGAAACCTGGAATGCTTATTCTAAGCAGGCTGATACCCCCAACACCTTACCGTGGCCTAGAGACCCAACATGATTCTGCACTTGCTTACCTTTTGTAAATGATACCATCTCCTCAAAGCGGTCTTTCTAAAATGTCCCCCAACTCCCACTGCCTTTTATTTCTTAGCACTTATTACTACCTGAAATTACCTTGCATTCTTTTTTACAGACTTGTTTACTGTCATTCTTCAATGGCTGGAATATAAGTTCTAAGAAAGGAGGGCGTTCATTGTCTGCCTTGTTCACTGATGTATCTCCAGGGCCTGAAACAGAGCCTGACACATAGTAAGTGCTGACTAGATGTTTTCTGATTGAGTGACTTACTATATATGTGAAACTAGGCTAGATCTGGGATCAGAAAGGAAAGACACACCTTACAGAGTCACTTATCTTACTCTCTGCTTTCCTATCCCTTATCTCTTATTCCCTTCCATTTCCCTGTGGGCAAGGACCCTGACAGTTTATTCAGTGTTTATACCCTCAGCCTTGCATGGTTCCTGGTACGTAGAGGATAAATGTTTTTTAAGTGAATGACTGAGGTCATAAATTTGTGATGGCTCCAATTACACAGGGCTGAATGATTTTTCAGCAGGTCTCTGGAGTCTGAGTTAAGCAAAGGAAATGTAGACATTTGGTTAGATCCCAAATAAGGATGTTTAATAGTTGAAGTTAATGACTGGAGGGTCATGAAGGGGATAGACAATGAAGTATAGACTTCTTCCTTCTGGATTTACATTTTTAATAAACAGCTTAGGTGCCTCTTATTTAAAAAGTTTTCATTTTAGTCATGTTTAAATTTTTTTAAATCATTTTTCACTACATTCTTTAGAATATAAGTCCTTATTAGCATTGATTTTTGCTAATTACAATGATAAGGAATCATTCACATTTTCCCCTAGAGCAATGAGGATTTACTTCTTACATTATTTTCCTTCATGATATAACGTGAAAGTCCATCTATTGATTGTAAAAATCTGGTGTGGGTCTTCACTACAGATAACTCCATCACCAGTCACCTAAAGACCAATAGAGTTGCAGGAAACAATTAAGGGTATCACCCAACTAAGTCTCCAACAATAAACATTGTTGGACTAATTCCTCATCTTCATTCGTCCTGGCCTTGACTCTGCATACCCACAAAAGACCCCAGCAGCCCACGTTTAGGGTCACTAAGAACACAGGAATCTTAGGAAAAGCCTGATTACCCAGTACTAAGTCAACCAAGCTAATTGACTCATTAGTGATAGACTGGTTTCTCAAGATTATTAGAGGATTCAGGTGTTTTGTTTTGGTGACAAAGGAATAAATAACTTACTATTTACATTTTCATTAGTCATCTGTTTTCCTTTCTGACAATATTTTATTCTGAGAAACAAAGAAAATGGGTTCTGTATTTGGATCAAATGTTTACATCTTCCAAAGGTTAACATTAGGAAGAGCATTAAAAAAAAATCAACTTGGCTGCAAGTATAGTGGGAAAGTACATCATTAAAACTTCATCTCTTCCCCCTAAGAATATTAAAGCACACTCAGAAAATAGTATACTCATCCCTTTTGGCAAGGTTCATTGATTGTAAGTGATATCATCTCATCTTGCAAGTGAGGAAGATGGAGTCATAAACAAGTGGTCTTACTCAAGGGTACACGGTCACAATCAAAGATAGAATTTAAGGCACCTCCAAAAGCTTACACAACTGAAACTAATATTCTAGAATTGCTGTCAGACAAGAATTATGCTCATAGCCTGCCATACCCTGGGCTATCACCTAGCCTTGATTCTAATCATCATTATCAGAGAATGATAGCATTTGAAAGAAAAAGGGCCCTCAATTCATCCAGTTCAACCTCTCACTTTTCAGATGAAAAAACAAATGACAGCAAGGTGAAAGCACTTGCCTGAGATGGTCACTATTCAGTGGTAGAGTCAGAATTGGAATCCAGTTTCCCAACTCCCAGTGAAAAGGGTCTCTCCACCATTTACTCAAAAATAGCAAAATCTATGCTGAATCCTGAAGAGACCTGAGCTCCTACTACTTGCCCAGGCAGTGGGAGTGGGTGAACTAATTTCTCTGTCCTTTAGGCTGAGAGAAACATTAACAGCTCAGCTACAATCATAGAAGATCACCCAGGACAGAAAGTGCTGAGATCCGGGCTCAGGTAAGAATGAACTTATCTATCCAGGTTGTTCCAGAAACTCACTTGGTCATCTAGCCGGTACTTAATACATATAAAAACGATTTTATTAACTTCTTCCTCAGAACTCTAACTAAATGTGTTTATTTTGTTTTTAGTGTGAAAAAAAAACAATTCTATTAATCTGTGCATCGAGGCTGAGTAGGTGACAGATCTGTGAGAGGGAAGGGCCTCTGGGCTAGACAGACAGAGTGTGAGGGCTTGTAGCTGGATGAGCAGGTACAGACAGTGGGCACCCACCTGGTGGAACTTGAATAGTTAGGGTAGGGTAATATTATTGGGAATCTTAAATTTGGCTTAAGTAGTTTAGACTTGAAAATAGAGTATTAGAAATTCTGACACCAATTGAAGATGTGTTTTAGAATGAGTCAGTGAGTAGCAGGTGACAGATGGGCAGGAGAGAGGCTGACTAGGAGCCTGCTTGTGGGCCAAGGGGGAACGTTTTAGAGTGCCTCTCCTTTTGCTTCTTAACAATTCATAAACAGAACCTGGAGGCCTAATGTAGTCCCTGCAGCCTCCCTGCTCCTGCTCCAGCACACCGTGGCTTCTGCTCCACCCTTTGAACTTTTGTCCCTCCTCTCACCATCCAAAGACCACCTCCCCCAGGGGGTCAATCCTGCAAGGTACAGGTATCACCATCTGCAGCAGCCTCCGGTTCCTGGGCCAGCCACCAGACTCCATGGAAGAGCCTTATTCCCGGGACCTCTAGCCCTTTCCCAAGCCCTTTGACTTGACAGGACTGGGCTGACACCACGGGGAGCGCTGCAGCTGGAGAACAGAGTGGAAACCCCAACAGGGCTGTGAGGGACCGTCCAGAACCTGGAATACACAGATATGAGGGGTCAAGGCAGGATAGTGGGTCACGAATGAAAACAACAAGAGAAATCACAACAATAAGGCATTTTGAGAGAATTTTTGTTCCCCCAGGATGAATTCTTCACATTGCCATGATATTAAAAGTCTACCACGGGGGCTCCATGCCACTCTTCTAATTACTGTTCCTTGTCTTTCACCATTTATGGAAAATGCCTTGGACTCTGGCACCCCTCCTTGTTCTCATCCACTGGGTCCCCATCAGAGTCGTCACCAGCCTGCTCTCCCACCTCCCATGAGTCCACAGCTCCCCACCTTCTGATGCCACACCCAGTGGTACCTGTCTCCCCTCACTTCCACAGCCTTACTCATGAGTTATGTTCATTTTCTCTAAATCCTCTTGGCCCTCCTCTGTACTATCATATGTGGCCCTTTTATTTTTCTTCCTTGTCTCAGGCCACATGTCAGGCCTCACCACTTTGCTGTTGCTTGGCCAGGTTCTCCACCACTCACCTATTTCTGTTCTCCCATTAATTTGACACTGAGAATCTCCCTCAAATGTCACTTTAATCACATTCCTAGCCTTCAAGCTACACTTGCTCCTTCCTAATTCTTTGTTTCAAATTAAAGCTCTTACTAATAGGATCGAAGCGGTGGAAGGAATATCAGAGATACTTCAAACACTATTTTACAGATAGCAAAGACTCACAGAGATTAAGATACTTCTTCACAGTTACTTTAGGCTCTCAGGCACCTCACTCTTTCCAAATTGCTCTTTTCTAATTAACAGTTCAAACAACATCTCTCTTTCTTGTGCCACACCCATTCATGATCCCTTCCGTCCACAATACAGTATACTTTTAAGAACTGCTCATTTCATCTTCTAAAACCTCTCATGATGAACCTGCCTGACCACACAAATTATTCCAGAAAGTTTCACTGTTGGGCATATGTTGGCTTTTGGTAACTACAACAGATCAGAACCTGGGGTCTCCTGCAGCTCAGGCAGCCCAACAGCATGCTCCACTAAGGCCACCTCCTTAGGCCTGCCTCACATAAAGCATCTGGTTGTTGGCAGGGGTGAAACATGCTAAGATATGGTCTCTTGTGTGTATACACACACATACACATAGAACATACATACACATATAGAGACATGTACATAATGAATAATGTATATTTTGTATTTTAATATAGAAAACACCTTCTTATATAACGTATAGGAATTTATGAATAATGAATATATTCTTGATAAATTCATGTCACCCAAAATGCAACACACAGGCATACTTCGTTTTACTGGACTATTATATTTGTTATGGTGATCTGTGATCAGTGATCTTTGATGTTACCATTGTAATTGTTTTGGGGTGCCATAAACCACACCCATTTGATGGCAAACTTAATCGATAAATGTTACTTGTGCTCTGACTGCTCCAGTGATGGGCTGCTCACCTCTCCCCTCTCCTCAGGCCTCCCTGTTCCCTGAGACACAAAAATACTGAAATCAGACCAACTAATAACCCTTCAATGGCCTCTAAGTTTTCAAGTGAAGAGTCACATGTCCATCACTTTAAATCAAAAGTTATAAATGATTCAGCTTAGTGAGAAAGGCATTGTCAAAAGCCAAGATAGGTCAAAACCTAGGCCTCTTGAACCAAATAGCCAAGTTGTGCATTCAAGGGCAAAGTTCTTGAAGGAAATTAAAAGTGTTAGTCCAGAGAACACACAAATGATAGGAAAGCAAAACAAACAGTCTTACTGCTGATATGGAGAAAGTATTAGCCGTCTGGACAGAAGATCAAGCCAGCCACGTTCCCCTGAGCCAAAGCCTAATCCAGAGCACAGCTCTAAATGCCTTCAATTCTATAGGCTGAGAGAGGTGAGGAAGCTGCAGAAGACAAGCTGGAAATTAGCAGAGGTTGGTTCACAAGGTTTAAGGAAAGAAGCCATCTCCATGTCATGAAAGTGCATGGGAAGCAGCAGGTGCTGATGGAGAAGGTGCAGCAAGTTATCCAGAAGATGTTGCTAACACAGTGACTGAAGCAGGCTACACAAACAGATTTTCAATGTAGATGAAATAGTCTTCTATTGGAAGAACATGCCATCTAGGACTTTCATAGCTAGAAAGAAGTCAGTGACTTCTTCAAAGGACAGTCTGACTCACAATAGAGGCAGCTGGTGACTTTAAGTTGAAGCCAATGCTCATATACCATTCTGGAAATCCTAGCGCCCTTAAGATTTATGCTAAATCTGCCTGTGCTCTATAAATGGAACAGCAAAGCCTAGATGACAGCACATTCATTTACACAGTTTACTGAATTTTAACCCCAGACTTACAGCTCGGGAAAAGGATTCCTTTCAAAATATTACTACCCACTGACAATGTACTTGGTCACCCAAGAGCTCTGATGGAGATGAACAAGATTAACACCACTTTCAAGCCTGCCAACACAACATCCATTCTGCAGCCCATGTATCAGGGAGTAATGTCAAATCATGTCTTGTTATTTAAGAAATATATTTCATAAGACTGTAGGTGCCATAGAAAGTGATTCCTCTGATGGATCTGGGTAAATGGAAACCTTCTGGAAAGATCACAATTCTAGATGCCATTAAGAACATTTTTATGAGTCAAGAGAAGAGGTCAGAATATCAACAACAGGAGTTTGAAAGAAGTTGTTTCCAAGCCTCATGGATGGCTCTGAGGGATCCAAGACTTCAGTGGAGGAAGTCACTGCAGATGCGGTGGAAACAGCAAGAGGACTAGCCTTAGAAGTGGAGCCTGGAGATGGGACTGACCTGCTGCCATCTCAGGATAAAACTCTCACGGTTAAGGAGCTGTCTTAGGGATGAGCAAAGAAAATTATTTCTTGAGAGAATCTACTCCTGGTACAGGGGCTGTGCAGATTGTTAAAATGACAACAAAGGATTTAGAATATTACATAAACTTAGTTGATAAAACAGTGGCAGATTTTGAGAGACTTGACTCCAATTTTGAAAAGTTCTCTGGAGACAAAGTAGTGACTCTGTGGCATCTTACTGTGCTGATGGACACTGACTTCAAAGGGGTGTGGGGGGTACTTGATAATATGGGTGAATGTAGTAACCACAATGCTTTTCATGTGAAACCTTCATAAGAGTGTATATCAATAATACCTTAATAAAAAAAAAGTTCTCTGGGTAAATGCTATCGAACACCATGACATACTACAGAGAAATCATTAGTGAAAGGCATGTGGCAAACTTCATTTTATTTTAACATTCAATTTAACATTCAATTTATTTAACATTCATTTAAACATTCAAACTTATTTTAAGAAACTGCCAAAGCCACCCCAGCCGTCAACAGCCACCACCCTGATCAGTCAGCAGCCATCAATATCCAGGAATAACCCTCTGCCAGCAAACAGATTATGACTCACTTTCAAAGCTGAGATGATGTTTAATATTTTTAAACAATATTTTTAAAGTATGTGAATTGTTTCTTGAGACATAATGCCTTGCACACTTATTAGACTATAGTATAGTGCAAACATCATTTTATATGCACTGAGAGACCAAAAACTCATTTGACTAACTTTATTGCTGTATTTGCTTTACTGCAGTGATCTGAAACCATGCAGTATCTCTGAGGTATGCCGGTGTAAGTACGTAGCACTTTACTTCACTTTTCCTATTATCTGAAGTCTTCTCTCCTTCCTTTTCTGTGTGACTCATTCCAGATTTCTTTCTATCCTTAAACTTTATCCTCAACCAAAAAGTACCCCATCATCCCTATGACCTTTTATTCCTCCCTACAAGTTCCCATCTTTAAAAGCTCTTCTCAGGTAGTTCTTGGATGGTTTTAATCAATGATCTGGTAAAATGACAAGACTGTGCCATAAACAGTGGGCTGCTAGTCCCGCAGATGGGGTGTGCACATACCTTAGTTGACAGCCCAGTCTGAGGCTGTCAGGAACACCTATCAGATTAGCAGTTACTAGAATGGGGGAAAGTTGCAAATTTGCTAAACCACTTATTTTGTGCATGTTTAATGACCACCAAAAGGGAGGGAAAGCATATGTTCACATTGCTAAAGACTACAGAATAGGAGACAAAGGGTGCCCATTTTTTAGAAAGTCTGAGGTGTGGGAGACAGCACCCATGTGTACTTGCTTCGAGGCGTTCTAAATCCTTGTAATTTTACCTGTGGCCTATCTCCACTGACAGCTGTGACTGCTATTTTAATTTTGAAATTCAGCTGCTCCTTTGCCAGTTTTGACACAACATTTTAGGCATGTTCAGAAAGCATGACTCATGATCCTCTCTGAAGGCTAACCACTTCAGTACTCTATTCAATTAGCTCTCTGCTTCCTTATCTGCTGGATGTTCTCAGACCAAGATGCAAAACTGAGACCACAGGCAATTAGAGAAAGGAGGAATTCCAGCCAAGACATTTGGCAAAAACACTCAAGACCACATGAGAGGCCTAAAGGACAAAGCGAAGGAGATTAAAAACATATCTGCCAAAGTTTTACTTAATCTAAAAGAGCCTATTGATTAGATAATACCATTCCTTTCATTAACAAGCATGACTAAAATGTTTGCGATGCCTTCTGGTTTGCTACAAGGCTGGGACCTTGAGGAGAAGGGAAGGCACAGGGTAAACAAGCTGTACAAGCATCTGGAAGAATAAATATTAGCTTTAGAATTCATAAGCTAGGAGAGATGATTTAATTTCAGGAAAGCAATTCTTATCATCAGGCTATTCATTAGTTTCTATTAAAGTATACACCTTGCAGACTCAAACTTTTGCACTAAATTATTGTGATTTTATTAAATTTTTTTTCACAAAATACAAAGTTTGCACCACATTAGTATTCTAGCACAAGAAAATCCCAAATTTTTCATTGGTAGAGAGGCATGATTTATATATAGAATGTTGATGTAATGCACTTTCTTAAAATATTAAATAAAATTGTCATGACAAAGTAATGCCAATCTTGTATAACATGCAGATTATT